CTGGGCATGCGCAGAAGTGTCGTGCACCCGAACCGGTATTGGCAACCCACCACTGCTGATGTCTCTTTCATCTGCCAACTACTGGACCATAAGAAATGTCCCTGCATTTTGTTTTGCTCCAAACTGTTGGCCACAGCAGTTTCATCTTTGTTTTTCAAAGGCGCCCCATGAAAAAGAAATATTCTTGTTCTTCTGTAGCAATCAAACAAAACGTTAGGCTGAGAGAAAGGCAGAAAATAAGCATTTTAGGAGCACAATGAATACTCTCCTTTCCCTCTTGCATAAGCCAAAGGTAACTGTTAAGAACTGACCCAGAGAGGGGGAAGCTTCATTGAATTGCCAAACCACTTCCTGTGACTACATCTAGACTTTCCCTTTAAAGCAGGCTATGCTTTCAGCCTGGGAGCTGGCTATTGATAGTGTAAAACATTAAAAATGTAACAACTAGGATTTTGGATGATCACAAAAGGAATTTTATTTCAACTGTTCAGACAGAATAAAGCTGAACACAATTAATATAAAAATCCAATTGAAAATCATATTGGTTCATGAGGGAAAATATAGGTGAAAAATGTTATTAGGATTAGTCAACTTCGATAAAAATTTATTGCTTCTTCCTCAATCTCCTGGTTTCTATAATTTCTTGCCTGATATAATTCCTGACTCATGTGTAGTTTTAATTGCTTTAATGAAGGTTATATCATCTACAAATGGTTTGGCAACTTATGATCCAGAATGATCTAAATATCCACTTTCTTGATTAATCCAAATTACAGTGGCAGGGAAAAGTACATCACTTTCCACATAGTCCCATATCGGAATGTTTAATCAAGCAAAATATCTTACCCCGTATGTTATGAATTCTCACTAAAGAAGCTAGATCTTAAAGGAATCCTAAAACTTTTTTATTAATTATTATGTTGTTCAGTCTCTCTACTTCACAGATCAAGTCATTCACATAGAGGTAGAAAATAGCTTATTTCAATATTATTGCATGATTCTAATTATTAGAAAATTTTTGAATAAGAGTCTTTCTCTTCCAAAGGCTGATTTTACATCTGAATAAAAATAAATTCAGCTCAAAGATTCCAATCAAGAGTTTTAGACAGCTGCAAGATTCATAACTATGACATTTGAATGTATGTTGGCCATCACAGCTACCTAGGGATAAATTTGGTGTTAATATTATTCCAGTTCTTTAAGCTGTCACAGAACAAAAGAATCAAAACTCCCAAATCTCTTCTGCTATTATTTTTAAGATTGAACCTATACTATTTGACCCCTCATCCTTCTAATTGTTCCCGTAACAATATAGATTTTTATTAGAGGATCCCATGGTGGTAACCAATAGGACATGCTATTCAATAAACAACAAACAACATTTCACTCATTTTAATCCCATCACTTGACCTGTGCTGCTAGAATGAATCATCCAGCAAAGAAACAAATCACTGGTGGGAAAGGGCCCACTTAGGAAAAAAATACAAGGCCTCCTTATATCTATCTTCACAATAAATAAAGGATTGGTTTCTGTGTCCGCATGTGTGCATGACCTTTAACTGTAACAAAACAAGAGCAAAGCAGCACAGATTGTGATGTACCAAGCCAAATACACCTCAATAATGAGTCATTTAATGTCCCATTAGAAGTTTAGTAAACTCTATGGTGACTATTTGGAATAGGAAAAAAGAGAGGAATGAAATGTTATGCAGAATTAAATTAAATGTAATGCAGAATTAAATTCATCATTTTCTTATTATTAAGACCAGTGGTCCCCCTGGTCTTTGGACTGCTACTGGTCCATGGCCCATTGAGAACTGGGCTGCTTGAGTGATGGGGGAGCATGCAAAGCTCCATTTATGTATGTGCGGGATAAGGTTGCACACACAAAACCATCCCCTCCCGTCAACTCCACTTGCTGCCACTGCTACCAGTGTGTGAAGCCAGAAAGGTTGGGGACCGCTGATTAAGTCCATATGGTCCCAAACATGGTAACCATTACAAATAACATTTTAAGCGAATAATAAAAATAGAAAACTAGGTAGAAAATGTATTCACTAAAACATAAGGAAGCACTGTAGATGTTTGTGAAATAGCCCAGATCCATCTTGAGTGCAACAAGATTCAATTCAATTTAAAGTCTTCCTCAAGTTAAACTCAGCTGTTTTTAAATTAAATTATATCCCATATATTCCATTCCAGTATTAACAGGTAGAACCTTGCTTAGTTTTTAAGGTTTGGGTCAACTGATAAAGAATTCAGTAAGATTTTATATAATAGGCTGTGATGATGACACATCAAAATACCTGCCATGGCAGCATTTGGGGCAGAATAGATCTGTGCAGAAATAATAAGTATGAAAAAAAGACCCAGCACAGCAGCTTCTGAACTTTTCAGAAAGTTGTGCTTAATTAATATTGAAAGGTTTATCTTCAGTTTATCATAAAAACATTGAAAAACTCTTTTCAAAGGAAGTTCTTATTTAAGAACATAAAAACAAATGAATTCACCATTCTGTGCTTGCTTTTCTGATCTGGCAGATTCATTGGCATGGCAAAATGAACTCTTAAGAAAGTGATACATTAACACTCGCTTGTGCAACAATAGAAGAAACATTTGTGGATGCATAACCACTATTGGTTATAGAGCCGAGGTGGTGCAGTGGTTAGGGTGCAGTACTGCAGGCCATTTCAGCTGACTGTTATCTGCAGTTCAGCGGTTCAAATCTCACCGGCTCAAGGTTGACTCAGCCTTCCATCCTTCCGAGGTGGGTGAAATGAGGACCCAGACTGTGGGGGCAATTTGCTGACTCAATTTGCTAAAAATCTGTAAACCGCTTAGAGAGGGCTGAAATCCCTATCCTTCTTTTGGTTTCTTTTAAATTGTGTTGTTTGTTTGTTTATTTTCATTTGGGGTGTAGTGGGGAGAGTAAAGAAAAAATAAAAAAGGGAACTTGAATACAGCAGTCAGATTAAATATAGAGACTAACCGACCTATCCTTAAACTCAGCTGAACAAATGGAAAGTTAATTATAACAATATATGGCTATGGATCAGGAGAAAAATAAAGGATCATATAAAGAGCAAAGGATGGCTCAGCAGCTAAAGATGCCATGCAACAGGGTGAGCTCCCATTCCTGCTCACCTGGCAGTTTGAAAGTATGCAAATGTGAGTAGATTAATAGGTACCACTTCGATGGGAAGGTGTGTTCCATGTGCCTTTGGCATGTAGCCAATGGAAAATGTCTTCGGACAATGCTGGTTCCCTCAGCCAAGAATCAGAGATGAGCAAATTAACTTTGTTCCTATATGTTAGAAAAGTTGCAACATTTGAAGTCAATTATTGTCTCAAATTGCCCTGTTGTTTTTGAAGTGATTCAAAGGCAACTTATTACATGAAATATCTCAAAATCAATTTGAATATTTGATTCCAACAATTGACTGGGTTTGATTGACTATCCTTATAATCCCATCTGCCCCAATAGGAAGTTGTTTTCTGTTTGACATTAGTTACAGTGGCCTTTCAATGTCCAGATGGGATTTTTTCCTAGACCTACCAAATTTCCCATGAGAAAGTTCATACACTAATCTACCATTAGGCAACTTTCCTTGTTACAATAGCAAGGGAAAAAGGATTCAAACCAAACCAACAATTGACTGTTGGTTTAACAGAATATTTGTTACATTTTATGTCAAAAAAGCTTCTAAAATCTGAGTGCCACAGTTGAAAAATTTTGTCTCAGCTACCTCAAGTTTCCAGTTGTGAGATATGGATTAAGCATTTCAATAAAAACACCATGGAGAGTTAAGTTTAAGTATCCTTTAACACAGTTGACTGACTGTGCCTATTTTGATTTGGTGGGTCAAAAGTTGCAGTGCCCTGACCTGAAATAATTGAGATCTCTGTTTGCAGTTTCTTCTTTACTATTCTTTCCAGTTCTTAATGAACATCAAATGAGAAAAGCTGCATTGCAGGGGTGACAAGGTTACTGTGTAATTTACATAGCCATACTTGTCCATAGATGGCATGCCTTCTGCAAAATACATTCAGCTTTGTAAGAGGACCAACTTGAAATGACACTCCTTGTGCAATTACTAGAGGCAAGAAAATGTATCTGAGAGAGCACCCAAGAGCAAAGCAATGCAGTTTGTCAACTCATGGCACTGTGCAGCAACCTTTATCCTTTATTTCAAATACATTAATGCACTTCCTTTATGAAGCATTTGTTCCACAGATACAGTAAGAACTACCACCCATTATTATTAGATATCAAGCAAATTATGTTACTAATTGATCACTTTGTATTAAAGAACCAACATTTTAGGATCATGCAAATGGCACAAAGGTGCAGAGAACTCCTTAAACATTTGTCATCATATATGTAGTTTCCAAAAATATCAGCAGCACTGTGTCCCATCATCTAGATTCCAGCCCATTTGGGGGGGTGAAATCTGCTTTTCTCTTCCTTTGACTACTTTAAAAACAGATTAGGACTTCAACTTCCTACAGTCTGACACATCATATGTTCATCAGAGAACATTAATCATAAGCAAAAGACATGGTGTCTAATAAAATTTACAGGAAATACTAGCTGCGTCTCCCACATTTGTCCAACCATTTTTCCCACACCCCTCCTAATAATGTGTGTGTGTGTGTGTGTGTGTACATACATACATGCATACATGCATGATTACATGCATGCATAACTTGAAAAGAAAGCATAGAACTTAGAACATGACAGAAACCATTTCTAATTTGGTGTATATACAAGTCTTAGGGATAATTTTTCTCCTTTCTGTCTGCCATATAGCGATAAATTTACAAGAACTAAGTACCCTGCTGGTCGATCACTGATAGAACCAGACAACAGGTTAAAAAATCTTTTGCACATGAAAGAAACCAATTCCATATTTTGACCCCTAAGTCTCCCAACCCTAAAGAACCACAGCAGACCCATCATTAGAAAATTTAAAAAAAAGAAAGAAACCATGTTTGATTACCATCTTGTCCAGAACTTTCCAGATATTCACTCAGCTCGCAGCCAAAGACGTTCGTGGCTCCTTTCCTCTTGAGTTTCACCTTTCCTGCCTTGTTCTTCATGAGTTAGTTCCAAAAAAAGAGGATTACCCCCTCCTTTCTTCCCCCCACCCCCTTTTTACACCAAATAAGTTAAAAAGTTCTCCCCTCTTCTTCTCAGATTTGTGTTGTTTGAGTCCCGTTTCTAGTCAGCAACATTGAAAGCCCAGAACTTTCAGCCGGATGCCTCAACATTAATCTCCACCAGATGTTAAGCTGTTGCAGCTAAGGCTGCTGTAGAAGGGAACGATCAGTACATACGGAGATCTCCAGCAGGAAGCAGCATATAGTTTGTAGCCCAGGTTCAGGATGGTTCTCTATGAGGGAGTTAAGAAACCAGTGTCTCCAGCAGAACTGGCAACGGAGATCAGATTTTGGCTGAGGTTCTTCCTTGCTGATGCATCCCAACAAATCAAATGAAGCTGGCCTTCAAATTAAATCAAGCTGGGTCTTTCATAGAAAAAAAAACCAGACGCTCTAAATCCATTTCCCCTCCAATAAACTTGTAAAAAAAAGTGGGGGGGAGAATACAAAACTGATGAAAAGCTACAAATCTATGTAGGCTCTACATTTTAAACTCCTTACTCTGTTTTAGGGTTATCGGACAGTATTAGGAGAACAAGGCATTGACTTCCTTCCTTCATGCAGTCTCTCTCACTTTCCCCTTTCCTCTGCTTTTGCAAATTCTGGGATTATCCAGTTCAGGAAATGCTGAAAGGAAGTTAGCAGGGGAGGGCGGAGGATGGACTTTTTTGGCAGTATGGCCAGTGAAGTAAGTAAGTAAGTAAGCAAGCAAGCGTGTGTGTGTGTGTGTGTGTGTGTGTGTGTGTGTGCAAGAGTGTGTGTTTAAGAAAAGTAAGAATGGGGGAGCAGAAAGAGTAGTTTTCAGCAAAGAAGGGAAGGAGAAGAATGTCCTGCCAGCTAAAAGATAACGGGACAGTCTGAAAGGAAATCATTTCACAGAGCAGGGGCCCATAGCAGCTTTGTGCTGACGTTTCCTGTTCCACAAATGGTCAACTCTGAAAAAGACTCAGGGAGGGGCAAGGGGAGGAGGGTGGAGTAGAACTGGTTTCAATAAATGCTCGACTCTTTTTGATTGATTCTCTCTCTTTCTCTCTCTCTCTCTCTCTCCCTCCCCCTCCCGTGTTTCCTCATATTGGACTGAGAGTTCCTCTGTTTTCTATAATCGGAATGATGGGGGAGGGAGGAGAGTGATTGAACAAGCAAGTAATGAAGAAAGCAAAGTGTAAGAAACTGTAAGGTCTCTCAGCCTCAGACCTACAAAACAAACCCATCTCATTTCCTCAAACCAATTGAAGGTGTTGAATCCTACATTTCAACCTTAAAATTAGATCATAACCTGCCACTCCTAGCTACAGCATTCCACAACTAGTCAATAAGGTATCCAGCAATTTCTGAAAAGAAATAGTTGTACATCCTCCTACTGTTCTAAAGTTAAAGCACATTGAGACTCCAATATGTGCTATTTCTGTCATGGCTTCATTGAATGATATAAAGTGATTTAAACAGATTGGGTTGGTATGATTTCTTTCACTTCAGAGTTCTTGAAATAGAAGGAAAGATGTTGGCTTTTTTTAGTTGATTTTTTTTAAAAAAATAAACAAGGCAGCCTATAAAGTACAAAAAACAAAAACACATGTTCTTTAGAACTGAAGAAGCTTCTTGGATGAGAAGCGAAATGCCTTCCAAGAAAAACCAGAAAGTCCAGTTGCCTCTTGAAAAAGCACCTTTGTGACAAAAAACAAAGTAGGTATTCAAAGTGCTTTAATAAAGACTCTCAACACTCTTTAAAAACAAAGTGTAACTTATACAAGCATTGCGTGATTTTGATCCAACACCCATCTAAATATAATTATTAGATTTTTTTGTAAATAAAATATGTTTTAGGAGAGGCAGACAACTGGTGTCTTCCAAGTTTTCTAGAATATAACTTTAACATTCTCTGAACATTAGCGTGGATTTGGAAGTTATGGAACTTACAATCAAAACAACATATGGGTTCCTATTTTGTTCAGATGCAAAAATAAACTTTGGATTTTTAAGCAGTTCTTTCACTGGGACATCTTCACTGAGCAAGTCTAGTCTAAACTTATATATAGAACAGAGTCTTGTATTTATTTTGAATGTCTTAAGAGAGGGTATGGTTTTTGTTAGATCTTGTGACATATTATCAGATGTATGATTTTTAATGGGAAGGCTAGAGTAATAGTGCTTCAGATGAAGACATCTTCAAAATAACCACATGTTTAACATGTCTAACAAAGGACCTCTAAGAAATAGATCTTTATCTTTGTTTTCTTTTTTTCCTCTTTCTTTTTGAAAAATATAACTGGAGACAGTGATCTGACTGTATGGAAATTTTAAATAAATTATAAATCAATCTCTCTCTCACACACACACATACACACACACACACACATCTCTAGACAATGTAAGAAATATTACAGCAAATACAGAACGTTGTCTGGTGAGAAATGTATCTTTGACTCTAGGCAAAAATCGCCTTATACATGATTTTAAATTAGAAGTGGGCAAACTATGCCAGTGAATCCTTTTTTTCTGGATGCTTGAGGTTCTTGTGTATAAATTATGAAAAAGCAATGGACTGTTTCCCCCTATATTAAGGCACCAGCCCTAAAAATATCATTCCTTCACAACAGGCAAAAATAAAGATTTGTTCTTGTTTAGTTGCTAAGTCATGTTCAACTCTTCACAACCCCATGCACCATAGCATACCAGGCCTTCTCTGTTCTCCATTAAGTCCTGTTGTTTGATGAAATACATGTTCATTGCATCTATGGCACTATCTAACCATCTAATCCTCTTCTGTCCCCTTCTCATTTTGCCTTCCATCTTTCCTATCAGGGTCTGTTTCAATGAGCCTTCTCTTCTCACTTAGTGGCCAAAATATTTGAGTTTCAGCTTCAGTATCAGTGGTGGGGTGCACCACTACTCCCACTGCCACCACTACTAGTTTGGCTGACCCGGGCCAAACCGGGAACAACTCACCTCTGTTCAGTATCTGTCCTTCCAAAACACAGCCAGAGTTGATTTCCTTTATGATTGACTGATTTGATCTCCTTGCAGTCCAAGGGACTCTCAAGAGTCTTCTCCAATACTACAATTTGAAACCATCATCCTTCTTCATGGTCAGGGGTGGATTCCGGCCAGCACTGCCACCAGTTCGCTTGTGTGCGTGCTTTGCACTGTACATGCATGCACAGTGCAATTAAAATTTTCTGTGCATGCACAGAACTGAAAAACACGATGGTGGCGCTGATGCCTCCAACTGGGAAACTGGTTTGGGGGCTTGGCAGGCCTGGGTTGCTGCCGGTTCCAGCAACCCAGGCCACAAAACTACTACCAGTTCGGATGAACTAGTCTGAACCAGTAGGAACCCACCACTGCTTATGGTCCAACTCTCATGGCCATGCATACTGGGAAAACCATACCTTTGACTACAGCAACCTTTGTAAAAAAGGTAATGTCTCTGCTTTTTAATAAGTGGTGGATTCAAAACATTTTACATTGGTTTTGTGGGCATGGTTTGGTGGGCATGGCATGGCTTGGTGGACATATTGTAAAATCTCCATTCCCACCCCACTCCAGGGGAAGGTTACTGAAAAATCCCCATTCTCTCCCGATCAGCTGGGTCTTGGGAGGCAGAGAATAAATGGGGCAGGGTCAGTCAGAGGTGATATTTACTGGTTCTCCTAACTATTCAAAATTTTCCTACCAGTTCTCCAGAACTGGTCAGAACCTGCTGAATACCACCTCTGTTTTTAATATGCTGTCTAGGTTTCCCAAACAAAAACAAAAAATAAGGTCATGTTAAAGTATGCAATATGGCCACTTCCATCTTCCATTTGCCACCTGCAACTCCAAATATTACATGGAGCCTAAGGCATGTCCATCAGTTGATTATCCACCTAAGACATGTCCATCAGTCGATTATGGCCTGGTCTACAATTGCAACAGAATATGTTTCTGTTGTCGAGGAATATGAGATTTCTTATGTGGAGAAATAGCAATAATGGAGAACGATTACTTCTAGCTTGTTCTCATTAGTGCAGAATCTAACACTCCTCCCAGTATTTCAACGTAACACAGCATACTGTTTTTGTCAGAAGAGTTTAGATTAGATGTTCCTAGCATGCCAGCACCTACCATACAAAAGGAATGAGAAATGCCACCATTCTGAACATTGAAATATAGAGGGTTGTTATAAAAGTACTGGGTGAGTCTTTTGTTAACTCTGAAAAGGAGGTAACATTTAGCCATTAGTCAGGACAAGGGATATTTATTGAGAACAGAATAGTGGTCAGAAGCTGGGTGGTTGCTAAAGCTTTGCATGAAAATATGTCCATCACAAGGGACGCAGTGACTCAGTGACTAAGACTCTGAGCTTGTCAATCAGAAAGGTCAGCAGTTTGGCAGTTCAAATCCCTAGCACCACATAATGGAGTGAGCTCCCGTTACTTGTCCCAGCTTCTGCTAATCTAGCAGTTTGAAAGCATGTAAAAATTTCTAGTAGAAAAAATTGGAACCACCTTTGGTGGGAAGGTAACAGCATTCTGTGCGTCTTCTGCGTTTACTCATGCTAGCCACATGACCACAGAGACATCTTTGGACAGTGCTGACTCTTCAGGCTTTGAAATAGATATGAGCACCGCCTTCTAGAGTCAGGAATGACTCACGCATATGTATGAGGGGAACCTTTACCTTTACCTATGTCCATCAAGATAACATTCTGGGTTAGTTAGAATGAGCCAGAATAATATCAACTGAAATTTAAACTGGAATTAAATAATTTGTGGATAGTAAATATTATATCTTGGGGAAAACGAGTTTGGGTTAGGGTCTAGTGGTTAAAGCACCAGGCTACAAACCAAGAAACTATGAGTTCTACCTTAGGCATGAAAACCAGCTAGGTGACTTTGGGCCAGTCGCTCTTTCTCAGCAAATGATATCAGGCTCAGATGGCAAGCTGGCTTGTCAATTTCTCTTGCGACCAATGGCTCAATACTCAACTGATTTTAAAAAATGGATTCTAGAAAAAATTTAAACTATATATATGCAATACCCTGGGATTCAGAATTTCAGAACTGCCATCCATCTAGCAACCATTGATAACCTGGTCTCTTCAGAATTTGTCCAGTCCTATATCTCAACTGATGGCCATCTTCCCATTTGAGGAGGGTAAAATAGCCCTGTTCTTATCGAATGCTTAATTGTTTAGTAAATGGATTAACATGTCATAGAAACATGAAAAAAATGATCTTGTTTCCTGTCTGAGATAGTTGACAGTCTTTTTTGGAGAGCAGAAATGAATGGCTTTGCCTTGTATTGTTCGTTTGCTGCACAGTTTGTCTATTTTATTACCTTATTATTTTATTATTATTATCTGTGCTAGAGCACTTCAGCTTGCTACAGGCTACCATCAGCAGCTCATTATTTAATTTACAGAGGAAGCACTAGTTCTTCAAATCAGTCAATACTTACTGTACACTCTAATTCTGTTGACTGCTGTTACCAATTGCCAATTGACTCACCGGCTCAAGGTTGAGTCAGCTTTTCATTCTTCCGTGTTCAGTAAAATGAGGACCCATATTGTTGGTGGCAGCATGCTGACTCTGTAAGCCCAGGGCTGTAAAGCACTATGAAGCAATATATAAGTCTAAGTGCTATTGCTATCCTGGCGGTCAACTACAGGTAGTCCTCAACTTACAACAATTCAGTTAGTGACTGTTCAATGTTACAATGGCACTGAAAAAAAGTGACATGACCATTTTTCACACTT